AAAACAATCTGAATTATTTCCCCTCTACAAATTTTACACATGCATTTGAGATAACATAAAACATACAAATTTTGAAGTCCTCCCATGCCTCAGAAATTCAAGAGGCAAACATTTCTGCCAATAATAATTACCTGTACTTTCTGTAAGTAACTTTCTAGCCTCCAGATCAAAATCTTCTTTGGAAATCTGTAAGATTTAGGTAATTAATCATTTGTTAATATAAAATTGAAAGTTCACAAAATAATATCTTCAAGTACTGAAACATGTAAAAGAATGAATGAAGCTTTTGAAAAGATAGGGAGGATACAGAACCATCTTTGACAAACAAGAGGCTCATAAGAGCCTGAATCCCTCACCTGGTATTTTTTGTGTAGACCTTGCATCAATGATTATTTTACTGTTAAATGTAATTAATGGGTGTTCAAACATGCCTTCAAAATATTCTCTCTATCTATAATAAGTTTCTTCAAAAAACTAAAAATTAGAAAAAAAATCAATTGACAATAACATTCCTGTTGACTTATTTGTAGGTCTAACTTTGCTGAACGTTTCTCTCTATCTATCACTTATGGCAGCCCCCTGCCCCCTTCCCCATAAATCTGTCTCTGATTAAGCAATGGAAGCCAATACTATGAATTGATACATTTTTGTTTATTTGGCTTACCTTTTGTTTAAACCATAACTTTAAATTCTGTAGATATCTGCAATATAAATATGTGTATTGTAATTTAAAATTCAAACAGAAGTAAATGCATGAAATGTAAAGCCATTATGATTTTGAAATAAATAGCAAGTCTGAAGAACATTTAACATCTTCACTTATGAGTTGGTTTATTATGATTGTAATGACACATTTACATGTCATGCATGTACAATACATGTATAAGAATAAAGTCAGAAGAACGTCAAATTTTTAGTATGAGGCTCAGACGCTCTTTAGAAACTGGGGAAGGACAAGGTTCAACCATCTGATGTCAACAGTTTCGTGCTAAATAAAAAAAAATGGTACTTTTCTGACATTGATCTAGTATTAATTTTATTCTGCAGCTATAAATGATGAAAAAGGAAGAAGGTTATGCAAATGCATACAAAATGTGCAAAAAGACATTTTTTACTTAATATATACATGATATATTTTTCTCAGGCTATGTGACATTTTTCATGTTTACTTATCAGCTACCTAATTACTTCACACCTAATTAATGACAATTACCTTTCAATAACTGTCATATGAAACACCTGTCATAATCACAAATCACTGTTAAATTAAATCATTATTAAATTAAAATTAATAACAGTTACATGTAACATGGTTTAAAGATATTACAATATATTGTTTCTTAGCATATTATGTAGATTAAAGATAGTGTTGTAACATTTACCAGAACTCAAGAGTCTCTGTTAAGTGTTATATCAACACAAGCATGCATAGATCTAACTTGAGAAATATACTTTTCCTGTATTGTATAAAGAAAATGCCACAAGTATGTTTTTTTTTCTAATTGACTCTTCAATGCATATATGTATATACATACCAGTATATGAATAGACAAATCATGGAGTTTTAGCAAATTTGAAATTTAATACTCCCAGAAACAAATACACTTATAAGGCTGAACTTGTGAATTAATTAAAATATAAATTGTCAGTAACTGTTTATTGCACCAAAATCATAATAGGCTAAACATTCTGTAACATAGGTATACATTATCAACATGTATATATAACAACAAAGGTTATGAAATGTCTCAGTAACACAGCAGCATAATAATGAATTAACCAGGTACAAAATGACTAACATTCATAATTTATGTATTCACTATTGTAGATAACCTGAATAATCCAGTTGTTACATATCGCTCACTTAGATCACTCCATAGACCTTATTGCTATTTTGGGATCTGCGACACTTGACCCGAGAATTTGCGCCACTTAAACACAACAATCTCTTTTCCTTTGTGGCTTCAGATATTTTATCTTGTGATGTCAAAATTTTACGGGAACTGCTGTGATGTCCAGTAATGGCGGACAAATGGCGATAAGGTGTATTAACAAGATACAATAGTGGATAGAATACAGATATATGAGAATCATCTTGTACCTGTGGGATAGAGGGCAGTGAATTATTGAGTTACTAGCATGTGACTAGTGCAGATTGAAAGTAACAAGTAAACTGGGGCCTAATATATTGATATATAATTTAGTCTAAGAACATGAGATGGTAAAACAAGAGGCTCTCAAGAGCCTGAATCGCTCACCTGTATTTCAGAGGAGAAGATTTTTAAATGTTAGCAAACTTGATGAACAAATTGTGTAAAATTGTCTTTAAAGGGCAATAACTCCTTAAGGGGTCAATTGACAATTTTGGTCAGATTAACTTTTTTGTAGATCTTACTTTGCTGAACATTATTGCAGCTTACAGTTTATATCTATCTATAATAATATTCAAGATAATAACAAAAAACTGCAAAATTTTGTTAAATCTACCAATTTGGTGGCAGAAACCCAACAATGGGTTGTTCGATTCGTCTTATAATTTCAGGGCCAATAGATCTTGACCTATTGAACAATTTTACCCCATATCAGATTTGCTCTAAAAGCTTTAGTTTTTGAGATATAAGCCAAAAACTGCATTTGACCCCTATGTTCTATATTTAGCCATGGTGGCCATGTTTGTCAATGGATCAAAACTTTGGATACAATTTATAAACTACATACCCTAAGGAACATTTAGTTAAAGTTTGAAGGTAATTGGCCCAGTTGTTTCAGAGGAGAAGATTTTTAAATGTTAGCAAACTTGATGAACAAATTGTGTAAAATTGTCTTTAAAGGGCAATAACTCCTTAAGGGGTCAATTGACAATTATGGTCTTATTAACTTTTTTGTAGATCTTACTTTGCTGAACATTATTGCTGTTTACAGTTAATATCTATCTATAATAATATTCAAGATAACAAAAAACTGCAAAATTTTCTTAAAACTACCAATTTAGTGGCAGCAACCCAACAATGGGTTGTTCGATTCGCCTGAAAATTTCAGGGCTGATAGATCTTGACCAATTGAACATTTTAACCCCATGTCAGATTTGCTCTAAAAGCTTTAGTTTTTAAGATGTAAGCCAAAAACTGCATTTGACCCCTATGTTCTATTTTTAGCCATGGTGGCCATGTTTGTCGATGGATCAAAACTTCGGATACACTTTATAAACTACATACACTAAGGAACATTTAGTTAAAGTTTGAAGGTATTTGGCCCAGTAGTTTCAGAGGAGAATTTTTTGAAATAGTTTACGATGACGGACGCCAAGTGATGGCATAAGCTCACATGGGGCCCGAAGCCCGGTGAACTAAAAAGGCACATGCACGTGGAAAGACAGAGGGAGGTGCATTTACCATCCCAATGGAAACAAATGCCTGTACCCAGAAGATTTAGGAGCAGTGACACGTGGGCCTATAATAATAATTAAAACATCAGATACATGTATATATATATATATATATATGTCAGGCATAGTGCAAGGCAATTTGGTGCCACAATATCTCAGTAGCATGAGCATGATGAGTTCGAATCCTGGCCAGGGAAGAACAAAAAAATTTGCTACCGCATTTACAGATCTAACATTGTTGGGCTGTTATTTAGACGAATTATGTATACAGAATGTGTTTTCAGCCTTGTATCACCATCACTGATGATCCTATGGATAAAATCTGTCGTAGAGTTGTCACTGGTTCAGACGTACTTATGTTATAATTATTTCTGTGACTGCATCCTACATTAATTTGTAAAATCCTCTACGATAGATAATTTAGCTGATCTGTAATATCTTCATGCTTTATATATCATGTACTGTGTTACGACGCTAGATAAAAACTGACAAGGAAAGGTAACACCCAGCCACTGAAAGCTTGATTTTTTGTCGAGTCTAGGTGGTTGAGTGGTCTAGCGCGTCAGGTATAGGGCAAGGCGATTTGGTGCCACAATATCTCAGTAGCACAAGTTCGAATCCCAGCCAGGGAAGAACAAAAAAATTTGCTTCCGCAAACTTACAGATCTAACATTGTTGGGCTGTTATTTAGACAAATTATATATATACAAGTCTAAATTGAAAACAACATTTAAACCTATGATTGCGTTGGATAAAAACCGCAATTTTTATAGGTGTGCATGCAAAACAAATTTCTTGGTAGAGGGGTCTAAATACAGCACAAACAACATTTTCCAAAAGACCAAATGAGTGAAAAAGAATATTTTAACAAAACGCATTTAACTAGCAGGTCGAACAACTGATGTTCTTAAATATATATATATATATATATATATATTGACTTTTGTATCAATTATGTCTCTGAAAATTATACATTTATCTGTTAGTGTTACTGTGTTAAGTGACACTGAAAACATTTATAAGTCCTAGAGTGTCAAGTCCGTTCATGTATAAGTCCCAAATAAAAACAGGGCTGCCAAGTCTCACGCATTTTAATCGTGAGACTTACGCATTTTCAATTTCATGCTTATTTGGTGAAATTTTCCTATGAACTATTGTTTTTTCTCTTTGATCTTTACGATTTTGGCCAAATCTCACGCATTAGCATTATCAAAAGTTGGCAGGACTGATAGTATGTAAATAAATTTAAAAAACGCATACGCTGTCATATCATCACCAAGACTGTCTTGAAGTTGTTTTCTGGCAGAGCTCAAATCCAGACTCCCAGACATTTTAACGGAAGTACTGGCAGTTAACTTATCTTTGTTTATTTTTTCTTATTTCCACAAGAGGGCGTGCGATGCAAACGTGGCAAGCATTCCATCAAATAGTTTCACTCCTCTGTAAAAAAAGGAAATTGATTTGAAAGATATGATTTGCGTCATTCAACATAAAATATTTTAATATAGCTGTTATAATTAATTCTTTGTTTGTGTCTTTTTCTATGCTCATAGCACTTTTACAGACTAAAAAAGTATTTTTTCTGATTTTTTGATTATTTTTCGTCTGCAAGTTTGATTATGTCAATGATGATAATAAAGTGTACTTCCGTTTAATACATGGGGGTACGTGGCTGAGAAAAATCAGCAGAACTTTGGTGCTTGTACCAAAATGCCACGCCAAGGAGAGTTAATGGATAGAGCAGAAGATGTAGCTGATCAGGTATTATGAAGAAAAGATGATTTTACATTCAGATCTTAATCTTTTAATGTGAAAATGGACAACCGGCTCATATCACTTCCAGTTTCAGATGTTTTCAATGCTTCCTCAGGCTCTTGATTTTACATTAATTCTGCTACCAGATGCATTCATTTATTAGCAGCAACAACAAAAAGTGTATATTTTTTTGATAGAATGCAATAAAAAGATTACATTTAGCTCTCCATTAGACAGGTTCTGGCATACAATCCTCAATACATGTGTTGGAATTGGATAGAGTGTGATGATACCTTAAAATAGCAAACAAATAATAAACCACATCTATTTTTTATATAGATACTTCAAATTATACATTTAGGTCATCCATAAGGTCTGAAATGTTGTACATATAGGTCTTCCATACTCTGTGAATTAGGCATGTTACAAAATGACTATATTTTATATATAGTCTTCACGATAAACTTTTAGACCTCAATTTTTGGAAAAATTTAGTTAGATTCTGTTGGCCTGTAGAGATGATTTTTACAGGCCTGAAAGCAATTTTACAAGCCTGGGCTGCTGAGCCTGTTGCTTAGCATGAAGACTGTATACAGTAATATATGTACATGTATGGGCACCGTATGGGAGCAATACAGGATATTGGTACTGACTGAAGCGGAGAGAGGTTGTGAAATAAAAGCTGCAGTACATATCTAAAATTAGTTGCAGTACACTATTGAAACTTTGTCTTTGTAATTGACATAAATTTTGATGACAATTTATGAAAAGTATGGTCCTGTGTATTTATAGCATAGTGGGTCATTATTGACTAATCATGCTAATGGAAAGAAACATACCATTTTAGAAGTATTATTACATGTAGACCACTTCATGGTTATTTCTGCCATATTGAATAGGGGCAGATTTTTTGGATAGAGGTGGAAATAGTATGAAAGTATGGCCTATTGGAAATCCTACATGTCCTATGCATGTCTCCAAGCAACTGTTCTGTTTTAATGATGTTTTCCTGTATTTTTTAAACCATTTTTACCTCCATTATGAAAATCTGGCCCCTATTCAACATGGCTGCACTAACCGTGAAGGGGCCTATTAACCACTCACTTTTCTTGATCTGAAGTAATATTAATCTGCACCTCTTTTCTCTGATACTATATCATGTAGATGGTATTTTTTTATTTTTTGAGAATCTGATGCCTAACATTCCGAAATAATGTGGAGAACAGGCCAATATATTCTCAATATATCACTATACCAATCTTTAGATACATGCATAAATTACAAATGCATAAAAATTTGGAATTCTTACCTGTGTTTAAAAATTTAACAACCTCTCTCCGCTTTACCTAGTACCAATATCCAGTGTCGCTCCCATACAGTGATGGGGATATCTTGAAATTCCTTTCAACCCCAGTTAAAAAAAGAGCTACAGCCTTCATTAACATGTATTTTAAGGGACCACCTTATTTGGTCAGGGCTAGTTTAATATAACATACTATCCCTACATGGACTATATGTCAGATGGAATTGCTCTGTAAAAATGGTAAAGTAAATTAAAGTCGAAAAAATACAAACATCTTGAAAACTAAAATTATAGAGAAGAAAAAAACACAATTTTACAGTCTTGATATTGGTACCAAGATAAACTCTTAAGACAAACATTCCTAATGTCATCACATGTCTAACTAGAATTCAGATATTATGCGAGAACAAAATAAAAAAAAAACAGATATTAACAAAAATGTCATTTACATATCATAACATATACATATTTATAGTAAAAATGGTGCATATACTTGGATTTTCTCAGCACACTAAAACAGAAATATAATATTGTATTTATATTTTTAGGTTTTAAGAAAAAGTAAACATATATTACCACATGTAGCAAGGTTTTGCTTAATCAGCACATTTCTTGAGGATGGGATACGAATGTGGACACAATGGGGAGAGCAAAGAGACTACATGGACTCTACATGGGGATGTGGGTACTTCTTAGCAACACTTTTCGTATTGCTGAATTTGTTTGGCCAGTTAGGTGGATGTATTATGGTACTTAGTCGACAGAAAGTTCCAATAGCTTGTGGAGTTTTATTGGGGATAATTTGCTTGCAGGTATATACCTTGTCATTTCACTTATCATGTGTTCATGACTGAACATGAACATCATATTTAAATTTTATATTGTAACGAGAAATAAATACAAACATGTGTATAGTATGAAATGTTGCATTTGATATTATTTTAGACATCTGATATTTGAAGTTTCAATATAAGGATTATTATTTTCCCACATAATTATGAGTTTACATGTACATGTACAATAATGAGGTTATCTAGCTGAATGTCTTTTTTAAAAGATGGATTATCGATTTTTACATGTATTCCGATTTTGTCAGGAAGAATCTAAATGCTGTCTCAATCAAGTGTTCATCATCATGAAGATCACTGCTAAAGAAGATGAAAGCAGAATGATTATTTTCCCAGAAAATTATGGTTACTGAGCCAAGGTTTCATGGTTTAATTTTTTTTGAGGAGCTGCTTATTTTAATATTTTTGTATTCAAGATGAAATACATTTATCTAAAGTCTTTTAAGTTCTGAGTAGTATATTCATTTTCAATACAAGACTTAACTTGATTAAGAGATTGTTATAATAGATTAAATAGTTCCATAATGTATATAATATATATATAAAACCACTTTAGCATTCTACACTTCCCTGGTGTTTATATACAGATGTATACCGGTACTTATATTGGTTTGACCATTGGAAAAAATTGCCTTGTATATATAGATTTATATAATATTTTTTATTTTTTGTTGGATAGCTGTCTCCTTCATGCATACCACTCATTTATTTTTATTCATATGAATAAAGTGAAAAATTATATACAATTTATAGATTCTTTGAAGTGCTTACTGCTTAGTATGTTTTTGTTAAAAATTTTGTTTTCTTTTTTTTCAGACAATAGCCTATAGTATATTATGGGATGTAAAATTTCTTCTTAGGTGAGTAAAAGGGGAATAATTCTGATGCATGTACACAATTGTATAACTAAAACAATACTAACTACATGTATGTCAGTCAGGGATCAAACTTATACAAGTGTCTTTTTATATACTTAAAGGTGTAAGTAATATTTACTAGTATAAGTAAATCAGCCTCATTTAAATTTTATATTCAAGGTTTGAATGCTTCTTCAAAAGTTTACTTATACAAGTACATGTAATTTATTTTTCAACCCTTGAAATTCTCATGTTTTGTGGAGATCAAAACATTCTTCAAACTTTTTTTTAATTTTGATTTTAATTTTTTTTTAATTCAGAGATCACCTCAAGGACTTATCAAAGAAATCTACATATATGATTGTGACTGAGGGAGATAACTCTTACCTTCAAAAATTATTAACTTCTACCAGTAATTAAAAGTCACTTGTATATATTACCCCTTCATGCCCTTACTGCATACAAAATCTCTTAAACTGACTAACAAGTAAACATGGTAAATAAATGAACCAAGGGGTGATTGCAATAAAACTATTGCAAACATGCTGTGCATGAATTCACATTACACACATATATAACTTTGAAGCTTTTTATTTATGCATGTAATATATTTATGAGAGATGTATGGGAATCCATGGATAACTGTCAAAAGTTTCATAGGTTTTGATAAGCATCTTCTTAAAAGGAACCAATGCTTGAAAAAAAAAAATTTATTATACATGTACGTAGCTCTGAAATTAAATGTTTGCCATACTACACATAGTGCATCAGTGTTCCCAAATTCAAAAAAATGAAATATGCTGAATTAATGAAAATTCTCTTAAATCTGACTTTCGAAGGTACAAAAAAAATTTATGTCACAGTATTTCAGGATTCTGAAATTTGTATATATTGTATATATGCATCATGCATAAAAATAAGAGATGATGTTATATTCTTCCTTATGATCAAGGCTATTACAAATGGTTGGGCAATGTTTTCAAATCAATACAGATGATATACAGTGTAAAATATAAAAAAACGAAACAGAAACTAGCCAATATATTTAATATACACATTTTATTTGGGAATTCATATTTGAGGTTATATGTAATCCTATTAATCTATTAAAATTTAATGTATTTTAGGAATCTGGCTTTAGTTGGCGGTGTTGTACTTCTATTAGCTGAAGATAAAGCTGAAGGAAAGAGTCTGTTTGCAGGTCTACCCTCGATCGGAGAAAACAACCCAAAACAGTATATGCAGCTTAGCGGAAGAATTCTATTAGTTCTTATGTTTCTTACTTTGTTAAGATTAGATTTTGACTTTTTCCAAATAATTCAAAATTTGGTTGGCACAGCACTTATAATATTGATAGCAGTAGGTTACAAAACAAAATTATCTGCCCTTGTATTGGTAGCTTGGTTAACATGTATTAATGTTTATTTCAATGCCTGGTGGAATATTCCTTCTTACAAACCTATGAGAGACTTCCTGAAGTATGATTTCTTCCAGACACTGTCGGTAATTGGAGGACTTCTTTTGGTGGTTGCATATGGTCCCGGTGGTGTTAGCATGGATGAACATAAAAAGAAGTGGTAGTTACCTAGCATTACAATAATGACTGACATTTTTAAATGTATTTGTCTGGAAAAGGGACTGTGTTCATAACACAGACTATTAAGTGTATGTGTTTCTTATTATTGTTTATATATAGACCAGGTCTGAAGTCTAGAAGATAAAAGAAGTCCTCATTTTCATCTTTCATCAGAGAGAAAAGAAATCTTAAATCTTGGTAAAGTATAATAGATTTTGTGAATTTAGAATTGATGACAAAAAGCCTATCTTCAATTTATATTCCAATTATTACTATTGTGAATTTATTAAAACAAATACGTTTTCAGTAGAATGAAGCAATAGTCAAATAATAGTTGATTGTATAAACAAACTTGAAATCACTCTTGGTGCCAGCGATGAGAAATTGAGAACCTAAAGATTAAATTTGTAGCTTTTGTTCAGGTGGTAATAGGTATTTATTGATTTGAAGGTTTATTTAAACCACTAAGTTTACAATACCCAAAGAATCACAAATGTTTTAACCGGAAACAGGTTCCCACTACTAAGTAACAGTTGTTAAATATTTATTTGATTAATCTACATTAAATTTTTGCAATTTTTTCCTTTAATACATTATGGAAAATTTCGATCTGTTTGAAATTGTGTTCACTGAAATTACAAAATTATTACGATATTGAACTATTATCATTCCCCTTATCAAAGTTATTATACATAATCATACTTGTTAAGTAAGAATGGATAGATCTGCAAATTTATAATTTCCATACAATTTGATATGAAAATTTAACATTTAAGCATTATCTATTAAGGGTAAAATTTATGAATTAAAACATTTTTAAGAAGTCAGCAGTATGTATATAACATGTGTAAACATTTATTTTAGCATGTGAAACCGCTTTCTAACAGTGTAGAATTTTGAAAGTATTACCGAAATCTTGTCCAATGACACGTAAAACATGATATTGAGTAGAATAGGTAACTAAATGTTATTTTTTAAGTCCAGCTTGTGATATTGTTGTCTGTAGTTTGTGAGTGACATGACAGATGTATATATGAATCATTTACGTGTACAATTCTTACCTGTTAACCATCTACTTCAATCTTCATGGCCTTGTTTTAGGTTTTACATATGTTAATCAGCAGTTATTTTCGTTTTATACCAAACATACAAACATCACCTCAAATAACATACTTATATGTTTGAAATTCCAGTTCAGTTTAAATGCTTTACAGTAAAACAAATTTACCACACACTATTGTGATGTGTATCATGTGTATGGCATGATTGTTTAGGTGCATGTTGTACACAGGTTTTCTGAAGATAGGTAATCAGTAATAGTTTTAATTTTTTCCTATTAAATGAGTGTTTATAGAACTGAGAGATTGTGATACATGATCCATAATATTATAATGATAATGGATTATTATTCAAATAAACTAGTCTTTTGTTTTTCAATGTATTCCATTTTTGTGTCTTGTTGATAACATAATTAGTATGTCATGTTTTCAGAAATTATTGTACTGAAGGGTAAAATAAAATAAGAAAAAAACAGCTCATTTTTAATACTTTCTTGATATTACTTAAATAATTAGTTATTTCAAAATTATGCAAACATTATGTGTTTAAATTTTCTCCATATCTTATGTTTTTTTTCTATGTTTAAATGTAAACAAAATGAAAGCACCTATGTATAGTTTTAGGTAATGGTTCATATTTAGAAAACCCAATTATTTTGTGACTTGTTGTAAAAGATGCAAAATCAAGGAAAATTGTTTGATGGGCTGTCTCAAAAAAGAAAGAAGTAAATATAAGTTTTGAGGTAAATGGGTTCAGTTGTCATGTTTGAAGGAAAAGTAAAATAGCACAGTGGGTATCTGTATGTAAGGACATCACATTTGTTTGTATGCTTTCATTGAAATGAGTAGTGTGTGTGGTTTCAGCAAAAGATGGTCTTGTTTCAAGGCAATCTCTTGAACAGAAATATATGCTTTACCAATCCCTTCTAAATATTACCCAGGATGATATTGGACTTAGAAAAGAAGGCAAGCTAAGGTTGTTCTATACTTAAGCATTGTGTTTTGTTTGCTTTATGTTTAATTACCATAAATATTTATGTAGAATATTTGAAAATAATTGAACCTACTTCATTGTTCAGTTATGTATAATAACTGGGTTCAGTTTTGTCTACTATTTTATATTGTTGGCCTACCAAGAAAAAATATGCATGTCTGGCAGTTATAAGACTGGTTCTTGAGAAAAGTCCTAACATGATGTTTAATGTAACAGATTACTGTAAATACTGAGAGAAAAATAGTATACTAATGTTAAAAAGATCTTCCTTTTCCCTTTCAATAGCGAGTTCAATTTTACAAATATTTAGATAACTTACATTCATTACTGAAGAGATTCACATAGATATTACCTCTCATTGAAAGTGTTTGGTTTACATGATTTATTTATGACTGATCTTATGACTGTGGTTCATATTTCTTCTTAATCTGACAAGTTGGCACGATCATTTTAAAAACATAAATATTTTCATCTTGTAATCATGAAGACCTCTATACTGTAATCCACTGCTCTTTGACCAAAGATTCCATATGTAAGACCGTCATATAGATTGGTGCTTTATGTTTTGCATATTATTTCATTGCCATTTTTTATTTGTTACTTATAAAAATCAGTGTACATTTTGTTTGTACCAATACCCCTTCGTATTTGTTATAGTGCATGTGTTGAAAGTGCTGTATAAATATTGCAAAAAATAAAGGTGATTGAATGTTGGATGTTTATTTGTTTATTCTAAGATAATGTCTCCAATGGTATAACAAGAGTTTTGTTATTTTTCTGTAGAGGATATTTCTTCTCCTGTAATAATATTTATGAAATTGGGTCATTTCTATCCTAATTTAACAAAAAAAAAAATGGTGATTAATAATCAATGGAAATGGAATTCCTAACAATATTGAATAAAATAAAGATTTAGAGAGTAGTTAATGTACATGAAACTTCAGAATCTGTCAACAGCCATTTTGTCCATCAGACTGCAGTAACTGCTAAAAACATCATGAATATTTGTCAGTAAAAAGATTGGAAAGAAGGATGCTTAGGAAGGATTAATTGCAATTGGGATGTCAATAGTTATAATGTTTCACATATCTAAGGACAGACAGAACAAAAATAAGAATTAAAAACTTCAGCAATTGATAGCAATTATAAGCATGAGCACTATAGATAGTATTTTGAAATATAATGTGTTTGCCTATCACTGTTCTACATTGTATATGTTTTACTTTAATTAGATTGAACATTTCTAATGATTGTACAATTTGATTAAAGTTAGATTGTCCAACTGATACAAAGTGACAGCATTTAACTTCAAAGTTTTATACAATTTGAAGTTTATTTCATTTATGATAGGTACAAAAAATGGAACAATTTGTTCCCAAGTTGAGATTTTTAATAATAGAGTTATACCTACCAGTGAAAAATGACATTTATTTAATTAGAATATAATTCACGTTAACTAGTTCTCATCGCAAACATCTAGGTGATCTAGAAATAAAAACATCCCTAGGATGTCCGATCACCCTACCTGTGTTACACACCCCAATACAGGTAAATATACAGGTATTCTAATCCGTTTTGATTTTTGTTGTGTTCCTTCAATATACACATATCTAGAAATTCATCGAGGGGATGGTGGTGGCCCCTTCACTGGTAGGTATAACTCTATTATTAAAAATCTCAACTTGGGAACAAATTGTTCCATTTTTAATAATATTCATTATACCTACCAGAGAAAAATGACATTTATTTAATTAGAATATACTCACTGATTTAAAAGCAGTGTTGAATTCATTCAACGGTGGAGGATGAATTTCCTTCTCTTCAAGAAAAACTCCACAAACAAAATTTCTATCGAACAGGGTAAAATACTATCACCATAACAAAAAACCCACTATTTACATCTATATACAGCTACATATTATACTGCAAATAAATACCATACAAATAAATGAATTTGTATGCTTACATCCTATTCTAAAACTTTAGTAGCATCAACATATCGCAAATAAAACTTTGCGAAAGTTGATTCAACTGCCCAGTCGGCAGAATCTAAAATTGATTTCAAAGAAGCCCCTTTGTACAAAGCCCAACTTGGAGCTATAGCACGTGTTGAATGTGCATTTACTTTCATATTGTCATCATCATAAGCTATTCTAATAGCCTGAACAATCCAACTTGAAATAGTTGCTGTTGACACTGGTTTGTGTGGTTCATTTATTCCCAGAAAAAGTTTTAATTCTTTCTGATTCACTTAACTTTTTCCGAAAATTCTTAGTTTTATCCAAATAAACTGAAAGAGCTCTTTTTGGATATATCAAAGTTTTCTCTGGAAAACTTGGAACAAATAATTTTTCTCCCAAATGCTTTTGTCGATCTTGCTTGGCTAAGCCATGTCTTACAAAAGTAATACCCTTACACTAAACTCTCATTGACTTGTCATCAATACGGAGACTTTGCAAATCACTACATCTTCTGAATGTAGTTATGGCAACTAAAAACACTGTTTTTAAAGTTACATGCTTTAAATCAACTTCCTGCATAGGCTCAAATGGTTTCTTTTCAAGAGCCTGTAATAACAATTCTAAGTTCCATTCAGGTAGAATTTTTACCTTTGGTGGTCTAGAATTAAATACACCTTTAATAATCCTAACTATGTTAGGGTGTTGGCCGACAGGAAAATTTTGCACTGGAGGTAACACTGCAGATAACATAGATCTATAACCTGCTATTGTCCTATATTGCAAACCAGACTGAAATAAATAAGCCAAAAAATCGGCAACCTGATTTAAATTTGCTGAATATGGATCAATTTGTCTCTCACCACACCAGCTATTTAACTTTTCGAATTTTGAGGAATTAGTCCATTTTTGTACCATCTCGCCATGAAGCTGAGAGCAATGTTCTTGCTGATTGAGAAAATCCCTCTGTTTTAAAACGTCTGTCGAAAGAAGCCATGCTGTCAGATTTAATATTTCTGGATTTGGATGAAAAATTTTCATTTTGGCCTGAGACAACAAATTGTCCATTACTGGTAGTCTTATTGGACAAGCTATCAGTAACTGCAAGATCTCGGTGTACCAGTGTCTCCTTGGCCACTGGGGCGCAATCAAAATTATCTGACAGTGGAACTGCCTCATATATTGCAATATCCTTGGAATCAGACAAATTTGGGGAAACACATACGCGTACATGTTCTCCCAAGGAATTGTCAGAGCATCCAAGGCCAAAGCATTGGGATGAGGAATCCAAGTGCAAAATATTTCTGTCTGGCGATTTTTCCATGATGCAAACAAATCTATCAATGGGGTTCCCAATATTTGAAAAATCTGCTGCACTATAGACTTGTTCAGAGACCATTCTGTCGGACAAACCTTTTCCCGACTCAAATGATCCGCTAAACCATTCTTCTTGCCCATAATGTGGGCTGCTATCAAGACTATATTGTTTTGAATTGCTATCTGCCATAGCTCCCAAGTCAAGTAACATAAATTTGGTGACTTCGCCCCCCCTTGACGATTTATGTATTGTACTACGCTTGTGTTGTCGCTCCTTATCAGAACACATTTTCCCTTCAAAATTTTCAGAAAATGCGGAACTGTCAAAATTACAGCTTTCATTTCCAAACAATTTATGTGCAAAAGTTTCTGTTCCGAATTCCAAACTCCCTGAAAAATCTGTTTTCCAATATGACTCCCATAACCTGTCATTGAAGCATCTGTCGTTATGGTCACATTGATTTTCGGCAATTGCAAATATCGGCCTTTCAGCGTGTTGGCTGAATTTTTCCACCATAAAAGATGGTATTTCAGATGTTGTGTCAATGGAACATGTGCCAACATATTTTTGCTGACTGGCCTCCAAAAACTTAACAAATAAAGTTGAATGGATCTCATAAACAGACGAGCATTGGGAATCAACTCGATGCATGATGCCATCATTCCCAAAACTTTCAAAAAATCTAGAGCCAAATTCTGACCTGAAAGCATTTTTTCTAGTAATATCTGTAACTTCTCTATCCTTTCCATTGTTGGATAAACTAAGCCCTTGTCTAAATGAAAAAAATCCCCCTAAAATATGTTATCACTTGACTTGGAACTAGGCTTGATTTGTCTGTGTTTATAATAAAGCCTAGTGAAACCAACGGATTGAGACATTTCAGGCGATCCTGAACTAATTGCTGCTGGTCCTGATTGACTATCAACTAATCGTCTAAATATACTGACATTCTGATATTTTGAGTTCTCAGATATGCAGCTACCACTGACACCAGTTTTGTAAAAATTCGAGGAGCACATGTTGGGCCGAAGCACATTGCTTTCCATTGATAACATTAATTTGCTATGCAAAACCTCATGTACGGACGATGTTTCTGAAATATTGGTACATGGAAATATGCATCGCTCAGATCTATTGAAATTGACCAATTTTTTGGTTTCACTAGATTTATGACTTTGCTCATTGTGTCCATCTTGAAATGGACTTTCTTTAGATGTGCATTTAATGGTTTTAAATTTGTCACGGGTCTCATTTTCCCGTTTTTCTTTGGCACCAGAAATAGTGTACTGTAAAAACCTGTGAGAGATTCCGGAAAATTCACTTTTTCTATAGCATCCTTTTCTAATAAAGAATTTATTTCTGCCAAAAATATATCTGTGTTTTTGTGAGATATAATTGTTTTCGTGATGCCTGTCCATGCAGGTCTTTGAAGAAATTCCAATTTGTAACCTTCCTCTATTATTGAAAGTACCCACTGATCTGTTGTTATCATTTTCCAATTTTGAAGAAAATATTTTAGCCGCCCCCTACCGGAATCTCTGTACACATCATCAAACTTGAACCTACCTTTGAGTCAACTGTTGTTCTTTCTGGGGATCCGAAAAGACCCCCAGCTACTCTGACCAGTCTTGTTGGTCTTGTCCCTATTTGACTCTTTAGCAGGACCCTTATAGCCTTGATTGTCTCTTTGTGGCTGTCTCCCACTATTTGATGTTTTAGGCACATTGAACCTATTGTTATTTGAGCCTCGAGTCTTACTGGCATTAACAGCATTATGCTCAACATTGAACTTGGGATTCTTATTTTGCCAATCTCGGTCAAAATCTGCCCTTCTTTTCCTACCCTGACCTAATTCAGGTAATAAATCATTCAACTGATCCTTTTGTTCCTTGCGCTTTTCAAGGCATGACTTAAGACCATTCCCAAAAACACCTTCACCTGATAAAGGCAAATATTGTGTTTTGTCTTTAATATCAGACAAAGTCACAAGACCTGAATCATATGATGCAGCCTTACGTCGGACTAAATGAAAAAATGCACCAGTCCTACCTGACTGGTCTAAAGACTTTGTAGACATTGCAAACAAATCTTTAACAATTTGGCAACATGATTCTTTCTCCTCGTGTTCTAAAGCAGTGTACCCATTGTCTGTTGCATATACATGCCAGAAATCACATTCATACGAGACGCCATTTGCCCTTGAAATGAAAGCTTCTCTATTTGTTTTAAAGGCTGTGTATGCAATTGCCTATGGCCAGTATCCCACGACTTTACTGCCTTTGGCCCATGGTTCTTTCTCATCATTGGCTCTAGCAAGTCGTCCAAACTAGGAACCTGCAAGAACTCTATAGCACTATCATGTACAGGAAAACAACTCCTGTATTCCTCTCTATAAGCAGAAAGTTTCTCTGGGTGCTGACACCGCCAGGAATTTTCCA